GTTTCTCATCACTCCGACAAGTATAAGAGTATAAACTGCTTCTTGATACTCCAAAGAGTACAAGAGTATAAACTGTTCCTCAAAGCTCCAAAGAGTATACGAGCATAAACTGTTCCTCAACACTCCAAAGAGTATACGAGTATAAACTGCTTCTCAATCCTCCTACCGGTATAAGAGGTTAAACTGCTCCCAGATACTCCGATAAGTATAAGAGTATAAACTGCTTCTTACGACTCCAAAGAGTATACGAGTATAAACTGTTTCTCATTCCTCCTACCGGTATATGAGGTTAAACTGCTCCCTGATACTCCAACAGGTATATGAGTCTAAACTATTTCCTACCATTGAGGGGAAGTTCCTGGAGGATATTACGCTAATATTCTTAAGGATAACCCGGTCGGACAACAAAGTCAAACCCAGTTCCAAGAGAGAAACTGGGGGTGGATTATCCAATGCATCGGGAAGTTCCCGGAAGAATACCACAGGGGTATTCTTAGGGATAACCCAATCATTGTGGAATTGGTGAACAAGAAATTCACATTCAAACTCTAAAAGTCAGAATGTCCCTTCTTATTCCCTAACTCTTATGAGTTATTTTTGTGAGAAGAGATCCAATCCTCTGATAGGTTAATCTTCCCTCACCAAACCACCCGCTGACCTCACCAACCCATCCACTGATCAAATCAAACGACAGTGGACCCACCAACATTCCCATCTGCCAGTCATTGGCATTTCTCAGACTTAACATGCTAGGTCCTAAGCGCCTGGTGTTAAAATCTCTGATAATACGAGTTGGCATTTTCTTTGCTACCCGTATTCCACTTTCTGTGTTTTCTGGTCAAACCTGTAAAAGTTAGGGCCAAAGCCAAAGTCCCCTCTCGATTCCTCCAACGAATGAGAGGTCCACCTTCAAATCGAGCGATCAAACCTTCCGACAGTTAGGTCGTCTCAAACTCCTGCTTGGTCAAACATTCATACAGTTAGGGCCACAGCCAAAATCTCCTCTCGATTCCCCCAATGAACGAGAGGTCCACTTCCAAATCGGGTAATCAAACCTTCCGACAGTTAGGGTTATCCGAATTGTTACGATTCTCGGAGTGGAGATCCCACTCTTAGTTTCATCCTTCCGGATTCTGGGGGTGGAGATCCCACCTCGAGTTTCCTTTCCAGCTGTAGATAGAATATAAAATTCTTCCTCTTCAGCACCGGGAGATAGAATATAAAATTCTTCCTCTCCTCGGACCTTTCCGATGCTCGGAGTGGAGAACCCACTCCCAGTTCATCATTCCGGATTCTGGGGGTGGGGGATCCCACCTCAAGTTCCCTTTCCGGCCGAAGATAGAATATAAAATTCTTCCTCTTCAGCACCGGGAGATAGAATATAAAATTCTTCCTCTCCCGTTTCTCAATCTGTCTTTGCTTTTAGAAAAGACACGATTGTCAAATCCGGGCACTCGATGCACGGGGAATTTTATCCCGAAGCCTGAGTAGGGATAAGTCAACGCCTAACACGCGTTGCCGGGTAGTCTATTCCCGTGAGAAAGACGAAGTCTATGTAATCAAAATCATAGCATTAAGTCTAAGGGAAGCAATTCTCTTAGCACAACGTCACATGTGAAACGGGTTTAATAATTCACATGCTAGCCCGATTCAAACGGTAATCGGTAAAGGCACATCAAACCCGTTGATGGCTGGGGGTTTGCCAAAAATCCCAAAGCCTATGTCTAACACACATGGCCGGTTAGTCTTTGACCGTAAAAAGGACAAAAGACCACATATTCAACATTGTGGCAGGTTGTTATTAATAACACCATAATCCGTGCCTCACACGCACGGGGAATTTTATCCTGAATCCTAAGTAAGGATAAGTCAGCGCCTAACACGCGTTGCCGGGTAGTCTATTCCCGTGAGAAAGACGAAGTCTACGTATTCAATATCGTAGCACTAAAAGGGTTAACTCTTTTAGCTTAAACGTCACATAGGAGCGGACTTAAACAATCCGCATGCTAGCCCGACTCAAACGGTAGTCGGTAAAGGCTAATCAAATCCGTTGAAGGCTGGGGATTAGCCAAAAATCCTAAAGTCAACGCCTAACACGCGTCGCCGGGTAGTCTATTCCCGTGAGAAAGACGAAGTCTACGTATTCAATATCGTAGCACTAAGAGCGTTAACTCTCTTAGCACAACGTCACATGCGGAACGGACTTAAACAATCCGCATGCTAGCCCGACTCAAACGGTAGTCGGTAAAGGCTAATCAAATCCGTTGATGGCTGAGGATTTGCCAAAAATTCTATAACTGCGAGTCATTGACGCATCAACTCCCCTAGTTGGTCTCGCTTGGTAATGATGTGGCATAATCCATTCTACTCATTCAAATGGTTGCATATCCGCATGCACTCCTCAACCTATATGAATGTGGTCCCCCATTTGAATGAGTGGAGGGGATTGTACCACCTCACTACCAAACACAAAATTTGTGCTTAGTACCAAGCATAACCATATTTCTCTCTCTCTCTCTCTCTCTCTCTCTCTCTCTCTTTCTCTGTGTTAATGAAACAATACCACATAATTATGCTTTTCTTTGCCAAGTTTCAAAATTTTTACCCTTTTTGCGGTTTTGAACTTTGAGGGTGTGATTTGTAATTTTTAAATTTTTGGGATTGTATTCTAAAAAAATTAACTTTTTAGTTTGGTAGTTGTAACTTCTATGTTTCATTTATATATATTCTAAAAAAATCATTGGGATATTTCTAATAACTCTAAAATTTTTTGAGTGTTTTTTACAATTATTATAATTTTGGTTATTTTTAATTTTTTTTTAAAATTTTAGAATTCTAGGGTATTTTTTTGAAATTTAAACTTTTGTGAGTGTTTCTATAATTTTTGAGTCATTGAGGGTATTAACTATAAATTTTAAGTTATTCGAAGGTTGTTGTTAGTTTCTTGATTTCATGTTAATTGTTTTAAGTTTTGAAACATCAAAAATTTTTAGGTGTCTCATGGTAATCCCTTGAATTCCTCTATATTGTTATATATTTTGAAATTTTAGAATTTTAGGGTGCTTGTTTGTAATTTAAAATTTTGAGGGTGTTTCTATAAATTTTGAGACATTAAGGGTGTTAACTATAAATTTTAAATTCTTCATAAGCTGATGTTAATTTCTTGATTTCATTTTAGTTGTTTTAAGTTATGGAACATTAGGATTTTTATAATTTTAAACTTTTGAGAGTATTTTATGCAATTTTAAATTTTTTTTGAGTTTTTTACAATAATTAATGTATTACAGTAGCTATAGATAGTTGTTTTGAAACGTCAGAATGTTTTTTATAATTTTAAACTTTTAAGGGTATTTTGTGCAATTTTAAAACTTTTAAAGATTTTTTACAATACTTAATGTATTATAGTAGCTATAGATAGTTCACGTGAGATTAGGATAAGATTATGATAGATTAAGATTTAAATAAAATATTTAAAATAGTGAAGAGTAATATTAACCATGAAAAGCTTTTTAGCTAATATTAATGGACATATTGTAAGTAAATTCATATGCAAAATTTCTTTGCGAATTAAATGATCACTCATCTTTTGAATACTTCAACATACTAATAAATATAGATGTTGTACTAGATCAATGTTTTTATAACTCACAAATAGTAGATCACGTGACGACAGTCTGAGTTGAAAGAAACAATGCCAATATTTTATTTGAAAGAGTGATTATTGAGTTGATGATCAATCCCGCAAAAAAAAAAACTTTATTTTATTTTTTATTTTTATTCTATTTTTATCAATTTACATAATCATGATATTCAACCACGCGCATTGCACGTGCATCTCAACTAGTATATATATATATGCTCATGTTGCACCTTTCTTTTTTGTTCAGCGTGTCAAGTGCAAGTGTTTTTTTTTTTCTTTGTTTTTTATTGATATCCTTTTTTCTCGTTCATCTAGAAGTCTAGGAATAAGATTTTGAGACGCACGTTGAGTTTATCGTTATGCGGAGTTTTGAATAAGGTTTCCAGGTTGACCGCGCGTAACTCCGCCTCCCGAATTAGAAGTTGTGGGTTACAGAGGGCACATTGAAGCTCGTCAGACCAATACAAATATACACACATATACAATGGATATAATAAAATCCAAAGATTTCAAAGCCGATGCTCGGAATCACAAGTAATAATAATAGGCTAATACCAATAACAGTGACAATCAGAGGGTTTTGGTTAAGCACTTCAAGATATTGGAGTTGGCATGACGCCGTAGTCAATGATATAAATAGCTAACCAGACCCGACCTTAACCTAACACCTAAGCAAAAGTGGTAGCAGCTAGCAAAACCATTATCAAATACTTTACCTTATTCATCACAAAATAAATATGAATATGAAAAATAAAACAAATCATTAGATAGGAAATTCTGATTTTTTTCATTATTAATGTGGTACGGTAAAATAAAGTGCTAAGAGATGCGGGATGGTGAGACGGTCCATCTAATATGACTAACGTAACAGACCGCATAATGTGTCTATCTTGTAAGAAATAATTTTACAAAATGAGTCCTTAGTCTACAATCTCAAAATTAAAAGGTCTATTTTTTTTGTCTTTAATTATCTAATTTAATTTACATTTTTCATTATTACTGTCGTTACTTTCATCGTTATTTCTATTATTTTTCTAGAATAAAAGGCACAACTGATCTGAGTTTAGAATGTTCTATTTCTTCATATGATTTTCATGTTATACCTACGTTGATCATTACATTCCGCACTTGCTACCTCATTGAAATGAAAGGAAAGCAGAAAATTATTATTTTCTAGCAGAATTTGTATCCGGTTAACCTAAACCATGAAGTGATGAAACCAAATCCACAAAGTTACAGGTCCCGGATCTGGACCTGGTTTACAATCCGATAAGAACCAAACCCGTTACTAAAGTCACACACTTTAGCACGTGACCTCGACCCCAATCCTAAAAATACTACCCTCGTTTCTCACTAGCATCCGACGAGGAAGCTCACCGAAAAGAAAAGAAATAAATTAAAATAAAAAATAAAAAATAAAAAAGCAAAATATAATATATTATTTTTCGTGGACTCCTGTTTTCTTCTATCAGATCGCAGATCTAAACTTGGATTCATAAGTAATAGCTTCAGATCTCATCGGTGAGTAATTCTTGTCGCTTGTTTACTTGAATTCTTTGATTTTTCTTAGCATTCTTCTCTTGAATCGGATTAATTTGATCGAAAATTGGTTAGAATAAGATTTACTGATGGGTTGGCAGTTCTTTTTGCTGGAAATCAGCTGAAGATCTGGGAAATTAGGGTTGAAGACGAACGGAGCTTTAGATCTTGCTCGTTTACAGTGTCTTTTAACGAAATTTTAAGATTTGCACAAACAAATTGTAGATATAATGAAAGTGAGAAACTATTGGTTCTAAAATTGAGATCTTCAGTTCAATTAGGGGATTTTATTTCACATTCTCAAAATTGTCTCCTTTCTCAGTCTAGATTCCAAGCTTAAGTTGAACAATTTTAACTTATTCCCACATTTTTTGTTGTTGTTGTATTTGTCCAGATTAACAGACCTCATCAAAACTTTTAGTCATGTGGAAATTCAAGCCATTCGCGGGTAAAGAGCCGACTGGCCTTGAAGGCCGAGTAATGGATATTGGCAATGTAAAGATCCAGATTCAGAATGCCATAGCTGAGGGTGGATTTTCATGCGTCTATCTAGCCCGTGATGCTGTGAGCCTATCGAAGCAGTACGCTCTAAAACACATGATCTGTCAAGATGGGGAGTCTTTGGAGCTGGCTATGAAGGAAATCTCTGTGATGAAATTGCTTAAGGGGCACCCCAACGTTGTCACACTCGTAGCTCATACTATTTTGGACATGGGACGGAGGAAGGAGGCACTGCTTGTGATGGAGTTTTGTGAGAAATCGCTGGTCACGGTGCTTGAGAACAGAGGGGCAGGTTATTTCGAGGAGAAGCAGGTCCTTTTAATTTTCAGGGATGTTTGCAATGCAGTGTTTGCCATGCATTGCCAATCTCCACCCATTGCTCATAGGTATGAAAACCTTATATTCTGACTTCTTGCGATTATGCTTTCTTCTTTCTGCGTACCTAAATTCTTAGATTGCTTTGGTTGGTTGTCCTGATCTATACTTATGAGAATATGTTCTGTTTATTGGAAATAAAATATGATACATTTCTTAACTTAGTAAAAATTACAAGATATGTGTAGTTAAAGTTCTCTATTTATAACTATGTAAAAATTGAGAAGCTACTGCAGTAAAAGAAATTAAGACATAGGCTAATAGAATTAAATCAGCTAATTAAGTATGTCTGCTGCATGGTGCAGTATTAGGTTTGTAATGCTCCGTCAAAAGATTTATCTAGTTTCCAAAGCTTTTAACAACACATATCCAGATAACAATCTCAGCTTACATCGCTTTTGAATGAAGCCACTGGGAGGATGAAAATGTTACTTTCCTGTCTAAATATGCTTGACTTATAAAATGTTAAAGCTAGATGCAGCAAGGCTGGAACATAGCATAACATTGTTACTGGATTCAACTTTTCTTAGGTATTTCCTTTAGGGTTATTTGCACTTTGGTATCCTAAAGTTTAAATCTTTTTAAACTTTGATACCCCAAAATTCTTTTCCAACACTTTCATACCCCAAAGTTCTTTCTTTTCCAACACTTTGATACCCCAAAGTTCTTTCTTTTCCAAACACTTTGACACCCCAAAGCTTTCACATTTTTTAATTTTGACCCCATAAATTTTGGGTATCAAAGTGTCAAAAGCAAAAGTTTGGTTAGCAACATTCAAAAAGGTGGAAACTCAGGGTATCAAATTGTCAGGAAAAAACTTTAGGGTATCAAAGTTAAAAAAAGTGTAAACTTTGGGGTATCAAAGTGTTGGAAAAAAACCTTGGGGTATCAAAGTTAAAAATGGTGTAAACGTTGGGGGTACCAAAGGGGGGGGGACCACTTTCTTTATTTGCTTAATGTTTACCGCTTCTACACCTAGATAATCGTAATTATTAACTCAATGTGTAGTAGCATTATGCTACCGCCTTTGTACAATCTTAACTTATGAGTTATGACCACAGTCTAATCAATTTCTTTTAACCCTATGCTGACGTGCTGAATTTTTGTTTTTGATTCAGTTCCATATCCTTATATCTTTTAAATCCAGCAACTATCTGCTGAGGGGTGGATTTATGGGGGATGTCGGATGTGGGTATCAGTGTGGCGCTGGTGGTTTTTTTGGGGATAGTTGTGTGGATACTTCAATGAAAGAGTCATAGCAGTATCCAATATCTAAGTGATACTTGGATATTTTGATACTTGATGGATTCTTGTTTTAAACTTCTTGAATCACATTCTAATACATTTATTTATTTAGCCACTTTTCTATGAAACTATGAGTTTTAATTTTTAAGTAATTTTGGATGAATATAGATCTAAGTTATTATCTTTTACTAGTCACTACAGTCTTATAGATAAAATATAAAATATAAAATATAAAACCCGGTAGTATTAGTGTGACACGTGTTTTCTGTTTTTGGGTTTTCTTTGTGGGGCGAGGGGAATGTGTATGCGCTTTTGTAATTTCTTGAGTTTGGGGCGTGAGGAGAAGGTTGGGAATGGAATGGAGTAGGAATAGTGCACCTTTTTTCCTCCTCTTCTTTTGTTACATTTTATAATAACCATTTTTTCTCCACTGTTTTATTTGTTTTTCTATGTTTCTTCATGATATAACACCACTTTAACGTTTTTAAGAAACATGTGTATATACTTAAGCATCTCCCCTCTCCCTCCTTCACTCATAAAAAGGAAAAGAAATAGAAGAAGAAACAGATCGAGAGGAAGGAAAGGTGTCAGTTTAAAATTTGTAGTTCTTACAAAAAACATGTTAGAAACATATTACAAATTTATCACAATTTCATACAAGAATTTGAGGAATTATTTTATTGTTTCAAATTAACTTATTGTCAAAGTTATGAACCTTCTCAGAAGTTTCGAGACATGAGTTATAGTTCTTGTTGCTTATATTGTTGTTCTAGCTAAAATATAAATTATAAGCCACAAAAAAAGACTCTGTATTTTAAGCAATGTGATGTCAGCGGAAGCATGTTGCTTTGAGTGAGAGAAATTACCAAATAAAAAGATATGCAACACTCATTGGTAATTGAAGCAACTAGCTGAGTCTCTAAAAACCTAATCAGCCAGGTCAGGGTCTTTCATAAATAAAAGGTTTTCAATTTCTTTTGTACTTCCAAAAAGGAACAAAATTGAAAAAGAATAATCTGAGCACTACTAATAATCAACTGCTATCTGTGATATCCTTTGTGTCTATTGATACTTGTCCCATAACCCACAATTATATAAGGATATTACAGTGGGCCAAACTTTGTTGTTTGCCCTTATGAATCCTTCATGGTAATAGAAAGAAAAATGTTTAATGTTATTCATGCTTGTTCCTTTGTAACGTGTCTCACTTTCCTGGCTTACAATCAGCAAACACTTCTACTCTGTAGGGACCTGAAAGCTGAAAATGTTTTGCTTGGATCTAATGGAGCTTGGAAGTTGTGTGACTTTGGCAGCACTTCTACGAATCACAAATGCTTTGACAAGCCAGAAGAGATGGGTATTGAAGAAGATAATATCAGAAAGCATACAACTCCTGCATATAGAGCCCCTGAGGTTAAATAATAGTGCTTTTTGTTCTTTGAAAGTGGTTATGCCTCTAAGATGTGAAAGACAACTCATTATATTTTATTGTTGCTTAAACACAGATGTGGGATCTATATAGAAGGGACATTATAAGTGAGAAAGTTGACATCTGGGTAAGTAGCACCCATTTATTGTCTTCTAATCAATATGTTTCATTTAGCCAGTTGAAACTTCCTTAACACATTTAAACATCATTGTAGAACCAAATCTGGGCAATTAAGTCAACATTTAACCACTTCTGTTGTATCAGTTCCGTGAAAATGAGCTATAAGCCTATAAATGCTTCTAGTTGTTTCCTATTGAACTGAAAGAAAATAAGAGACTTGTAGAAAGTTTGAGTTATAATATTCTTCCAAAGTTAGTCGAACGCATCCCTGGTTTAAAAATTAGAAAATGGAAGCATGTTTTATGGCCTTCTCTTGCCTGTTTTTCTGTCTTTCACGTCACTCTTGTGTGCAAGAGAAAACCTACGTAATCTTACTTTTATAGTTGTTTCTATTCATGGAAACTGACGGAGGAGGTGGTTTATTACAGGCGCTTGGATGCCTTCTGTATAGAATCTGCTACTTCAAATTGGCATTTGATGGCGAGTCAAAGCTGCAGGTCCTTAATGGGAACTTTCGCATTCCAGAGGTGCCCAAATATAGTGCCTCCATAACAAGCTTGATCAAGGACATGCTTGAGTCCTCTCCAGACACCAGACCAGATATCACGCAGGCAAGGGCTTTGCTTGATTGGCCATTCATCTCCATGAATTTAGGTTGGTTATAGATCATTGCATCTGTAATAGCACCTAGAGATGCAAAGAATTTGTGCTCTTTTTCTTTTGTGGCACTGAACCATTTTCATCAATAGGTGTGGTTTCGTGTTAATGAGGCACTGCCTGTGGAGTTGCAGAAGGACTTACCAGATGGGTCATCATCAGCTTTTGATAAGCATTCTCCTTCTCCAAATCGGCATGATGAAGGTCAGTGCAATCATACCATTCCTATCAATGTGAGGCTAGAAAAGGAGACATAACTGCAGAACTTTCCTGATGTTTCCTTCTGTTTTTTCTTGGTTCTTTTTGTTTTTTATAATAAGCCTATATTACATATCACAGGAACTTGGAACCTACCTGTCTCTTACTAATGATGTGATGCAAATATGCACCATCTAATTAAGAATACCTTAGAACCTACCTGTCTCTACTAGTGATGTGATGTACACGTGACCAACTAAGTAAGAACATGTTCTGCTACTTGTAATTTATAGTGTATAAAGTTTACAAACAAATACCTTAACTAATGCAATCTCTTCTTGAAACATGTGGCTAAGTATTTGTGAAATGAATGCCAATGCTTTAACAAACAAATCTTGTTGGATCTGTTTAACTTTTTTGATTGAAAGTGAAAAGCGAAAAAATCAGCCACGAGGCTGCTTGTATGGCGTTGCTTTTGAAAATATTTTCAGGGAAGTGGGGAAAATCATAGATGGAGCGGTGGCAGCAGTTTAGCGATCTTGTTTTATGCATAGATGTGTTCCTGATATGCTCTTTTGAGCTTTATGTAATGCCTCAATTTCCTCTTTAAGGAGAGCCACGCCCCTATGTTCCTCTAAAGTTAAAAAGAAATTCAATTGAAAGATATATCCAGTAATACACCATCCTCTCCGTCTTTATTTGCCTCTATCTTCTCTTTTCTTCCTCTTAAGTTGCTGTAGGCTGCCATTTGGACCAGCTTTAGCAGCTGCATGAAAACATAACATAGGGAGAATCATTTTTTTTCTTCTCTGAGGGGGTGGGGGAGGGTGTATGCGGTGTGTGTAACATGAACTAGGTAAAATCTAACGTACATGGGACACTTTTGGTTTGACATGGTTGGATACTACGTATGTCTTATCGTTTCTGACCGAAAGAGTCCAACATATGCTAGATCTTTCCTAACCCAGATATTTCATACATTGTCAAGCAATCTCTGGTATTTTGGATGTCGTAGATCGTAATTGGATCATTGATTCTCAATTTAAATATGCCTATGCGTATACTATCATACCATCCTGCTTTCATTGTTTCCGGCCATATTTTGGCTTCAGGAATTGTATTATCCTAGTTGACCTGTGCACCATATACTCTCAGCTTTTTAAACCGAGTATCCTGGAGTAAATTTAACTGCTCTATTGTGCAGGAATTCAAAAAAGGACTCCTTCAATGCCTCGTAGGAGCCCTCCACCTCCCCCTTCATCAAGAGAACAGAGTCATAATAAGGTCAGTACTTCAGAGGGTTCCATGGGTGCATTTTGGTCCACCCAACACGCACAAAATTCACAAATAGATGACAAGGACCCACCATTGTTTGATGACGAGGCTATAGGCAACGCAACATCCAAGAACAGTCAAGCAAATCCTGAAAGGCGAAAGAGCATGCATGGAAACACTCTCAAGGGATTCAATAATGGTGCAAATGATGACTATGAAATAAGTTTTTCTCCAGAGAAAAAGCCATTGGATACTGAGATCAAACCAACTTTCCAGAATGAGGCGTTTAACACTTTTGTGGCGGATTTCAATAGTGCTAATAGTACTAACAAAAATAGAAAATCAGGGAAGGCGGATGAATTGGAAGCAGAAGTGGTCCGGTTGAGAGAACAACTGAAGCAAACTAACTTGGAGAAAGCTGAAATAACAGGAAAATATGAGAAGCTTACTGCAATTTGCCGCTCCCAGAGACAGGAGCTTCAGGAGCTAAAGCGGGCCCTTGCTGCTTCAACCCCTTCACCATCAAGTAAAGGGAGTCCTACAACTCCCGAAATTCCGGTATATGGTCTCATCCTCTTTTCCTTGTTTACTGCTGGATATTTATTGTTTACTTTTTGCATTTCCGGATCTAATTGTGGCCTTTGTTTCATGTTCTGGCCTTATGAAATTGCAGACTTGACAATGTTTGTGTCCTTTTTATGTCTTTAGTAAGAGTACTTTTGATAATCATGGATGACAGGTTTTGTTTTCTTTTTGAAAATTATACCTGTGATTAATAAATGTAATACAAAAACACGAGTAATTTAGCTACAAAACTCACTGGATTTAAAAATGGAACTGTAAAGGAAATTAGATACTGCTTGATGCTCTCCCATGTTTCAACTTACTGGAGAGAAAACCATTGGGAATTCATGCATCGAAAAAAGCTTATTTGAGGATCTTTAAGTTGTTGTGCCAGGACAATCAGGATGAGGATGTGTCCTATGTTATAGTCTCATTCATATCTCAAAGCTACAACTACTCCCATTTATATATATATAGGGATACAATAACAAGAAGTTTATTGCGTAGTCAATGCAGGACAAAATATAATTACCTAATCACAATTATTCTCTTAATTACATTCCTAATATCTCTCAATCACCAAATCTCTAATTTATACTCCTATTACATTATTCCTAATATAACTATAACATTATATATCTCCATAATATATTCCTTGACATAGAGGAAGTACTGTCGACCCTAAAAAATAAAATTTCAGGAAGCCCCAGTTGTTCTCCTACAGTTGTAAACGTTGCCATAACTACTATACAAGTTAACAACAAACTTTTTAAACATCACCTCAGCATCATATCTCATTTAAAAGTTTGCGTAACACAGTAACACTTGCTACTCCAAAAATCACTTAGGGGGGGTTATTCGTTGGTGTAATTTGGGGTAAATTGGGGTAAATTGTTCCAATGGGGTAATTTTACCCAATGGGATAATTTGAGTGGGATAAAGTGGGGTAAAGTGGGGTAAATTGGGGTAATGGGACAATTTGAGTGGGACAATTGGTATGACATCTTTTTATAATATTATATTATAGCTCAATTAAGTTCAAGTTTAACTTGATATAACATCAAATGATTAAATAAATATTAGTTATAATATACAATAATATTATTTTTTAAAATTATTTTAATATAAAATATTAAAAATAATATAATAATAATAATATTATTATTATTAATCAATCTTTAAATATTTTGATGTTTATTTTAACTATTATGCTATATTAATAAACTTTTTAATTGCAATAATTATTTAATCATTCATACATCTATTACCATGATGATGATAAAGTCTCAATTATCCATAACATTTAAGTGTATTTCTTTGTGAAGGCTGATAATCTCACCGCTAGTTTTCTTGTTTACACATCAAGTTGCAGAGCAATCCTTTCAATTCAATCCAAATACCCAGTGCAAGATATTGCCTGAACATGCTGAAAGATATTGCATAATGATTAAAGCTTTAATTCATGTTTCTTGAGAGGATAAATGCACTATTCTTTACTTTGAAGTTTGAAATAATTATTAGTCACAAAAACCATCAATTTCTTTGTGAAGGCTGATAATCTCACCGCTAGTTTTCTTGTTTACACATCAAGTTGCAGAGCAATCCTTTCAATTCAATCCAAATACCCAGTGCAAGATATTGCCTGAACATGCTGAAAGATATTGCATAATGATTAAAGCTTTAATTCATGTTTCTTGAGAGGATAAATGCACTATTCTTTACTTTGAAGTTTGAAATAATTATTAGTCACAAAAACCATCAATTTCTTTGTGAAGGCTGATAATCTCACCGCTAGTTTTCTTGTTTACACATCAAGTTGCAGAGCAATCCTTTCAATTCAATCCAAATACCCAGTGCAAGATATTGCCTGAACATGCTGAAAGATATTGCATAATGATTAAAGCTTTAATTCATGTTTCTTGAGAGGATAAATGCACTATTCTTTACTTTGAAGTTTGAAATAATTATTAGTCACAAAAACCATCAATTTCTTTGTGAAGGCTGATAATCTCACCGCTAGTTTTCTTGTTTACACATCAAGTTGCAGAGCAATCCTTTCAATTCAATCCAAATACCCAGTGCAAGATATTGCCTGAACATGCTGAAAGATATTGCATAATGATTAAAGCTTTAATTCATGTTTCTTGAGAGGATAAATGCACTATTCTTTACTTTGAAGTTTGAAATAATTATTAGTCACAAAAACCATCAATTTCTTTGTGAAGGCTGATAATCTCACCGCTAGTTTTCTTGTTTACACATCAAGTTGCAGAGCAATCCTTTCAATTCAATCCAAATACCCAGTGCAAGATATTGCCTGAACATGCTGAAAGATATTGCATAATGATTAAAGCTTTAATTCATGTTTCTTGAGAGGATAAATGCACTATTCTTTACTTTGAAGTTTGAAATAATTATTAGTCACAAAAACCATCAATTTCTTTGTGAAGGCTGATAATCTCACCGCTAGTTTTCTTGTTTACACATCAAGTTGCAGAGCAATCCTTTCAATTCAATCCAAATACCCAGTGCAAGATGCACAGAAGTAATCAATATGTAAGTAACAACTAAGATTATCTCAAAAAATTATTACTAAGATCAATATATCTCAGTATTTCTCCATGAAAATTAGCATCTAAATCGAACAATTTCATCTAAAACCCTAGCAGCACTGATAAAAGATATTAATCACAAAACCCTAGCATTCAATCAATCCCAATCAGCAAATCGAGGAACAACGACATCACAATCAGGTCAGAGATCGAACAGATCTAAATGAAGAAAATGAACTAGGGTTAGGGTTTCTTACAAGGGAAATCAGCCTGGATGGTGCTCATGTTGCTGGGTGAAGATGAAAATTAGAACTTTAAGTTCAAATCAAAATTGGAACTGGGTGAAGATGAAACTTTGCTGGTGCAATTGCAATTTAAACTCCATTGCAATTCAGTTCTATTGAAATTGCAACTTTGCATCATAGTTTCCCAATTAACTGCAATATAGATCCAGAGATTTTACCTAGAGTTGGGAGGCTGTGCCGCGGAGGAGCCGCGGAGGTGATGGCGGCGGCGACCGAGCCCGAGAACGACGGCGGCGAAGTGGGCGTTCGAGCTCGAGAACGACGTACGAGCTCGAGGTGGCGAACGGTGACGAACGACGTACGAGCTCGAGGCGGAGAGAGGAGGCGGAGGAGGCGGACGCCGACCTAGAGACCAAAAACATAGAGGACGCGGAGGAGGCGGACGCGGAGAGAGGAGGCGGAGAGAGCGGGCGTTCGGCTGGGTTTCTTGGTTCCAGCGATAGAAAGGGGGCAAATTTTTGGGGCAGGGCTGAAGTTTCTTTTTATAGGTGGGATAAATTGGGGGAAATGGGGGTATTTGTCCCAGAATTACCCCAACAAACCAATAACACCACACAGATTACCCCAGTTCCAATTACCCCAATGAATAACACCAAACATTAGTGTTCCAAAAATTATCCCATTATCCCAACAATTACCCCAACCAATAACCCCCCCTTACAGTCGCATGCCTTAACACACGGTATTTCAAAATTCTGATTCTTGCTTGCCTTTCCTACTTCCTGTTGCAGCAAAGAGAAAAGATCGAAGGCACAGTTTGGGAACTCCAGCAAGGGATAATCGAAAGCAGCCCTCCAAACCCCGATCCAAAGTCATGGCAGCCATTTGCAGAGGAGCCAAAGCAACAGGCTATAACTCCAAAAAGCCTTAATCCCAGATCAGTCAGGACAATCAACGGGCATCGAAATACTATGAAACAACAGAGCCCAACTTCTTCCACTGATGAATGGGGGTTTGGTCAGGAGAGCTTCAAGGCTGCTCCATCTGCTGAAATGCCGAGGAGTTCAGTTCAAGGAAGCACTTCACAGAGGTTTGGTGCAAGTGAAGTTAAGAAGGCAGAAACTGGTCAGCCGGCTGGATGGGCTGGTTTCTGAAATCCCGAATTTAAATATAATTGTTACTTATGACCGATGATATTGTTGTTGTGATTGTAAGTCCTTAAACTGTTATATATCAGTGGGGCTTGTAAAAGAGAGGGATTGGTTTCGTAGAATCTGTTTGGTTTCGTGGTCTCTGTAACAGGATCCTGATAACTATCTTATTATATTTATAGCATCTGGCCATGACCCCAGAATTTATGTACACTGTGTTAATGGAATCCTGGTGAACCTGGACCCTTTTGCTTCTTCATATTTGCTTTAATTGGTTATATACTTCGATTCTGATATGAGCAGGGCATTATGATGGGAAATGGGTTGTAGCTGATTGATTTCTGCTCGTGTGCAGAGGTTATTTTTATTGACGCATACATTTCTTGCTTGAATGGTTTTATCTCAGACTTGGAGAAGTCTTTTTTAAGCCAAATGTAATGCTCGTTCTTGCTTGAGCAGTCCCCTAACGTAGCAATGTCAAGAACTTCTAATTTGGTAGAACGATTTAACGTAGCAATGTCAAGAACTTCTAATTTGGTAGAACGATTTTCCTTACGAAGACACATGTGTATTTGTGAAAGGTAAACGGATACAAATATGATAAGCATCATTGCGAACATTGCCTATAAGTAACAAATGATAAAATTTGGATTTTTTTTTCTCAAATGACATTTTAGTTATTTGCAAATTATACGTAGGGGGTCTAGTGAAAAGAGTTTAAATTTTAGAGGGACTTTGTGAGACACCCAAAAGTTCAGGAGGTTATGTGAGATAAACAAAATTTAGATGGGTTATAGGAAAACCCCATGAAGTTCAAGGCTTTTATGTGAACACCCATATGATTATATAAAATTAACTCAAAACAAAACTGTAATGAGACAATTAAAACAACAATTCCAGTGTGAGCATGTGTTTCTTGTTGTGCCTTGAGAATCCAAACCAATCGCCAAGAAAAGATAAACCAACACACCAACAAGCACAAACAATCACTAACACCAGTTTTACGTGGTTCGGCAAGATACCTACGTCCACGGGGCAATGAGAGGGGAGTTTTCACTATTAGAAACAAGAGGATACAACTAGTGTTACAAATCTCTCACCAAAAAACCCCATAACAACTCACTCTTGATCTCACCAATTGCTCCAACAATAGAAGCCCAATAAAACTCTCCCTTCAGATCTCAAACTTCAGCCTCCAAACCCTAGAAACACCCCTTTGGGTATTTATAGGAAACCCAAACGAAACGGGTTTGGAAAACAGACCCAGACTCAACCCGCTTCGGCGGTCGACCGGTCATCGGCGAAGATTCTTCCAAACTGAGCCGACACCAACCAAACCAATTTGCCTCACTTGTTGCATCCTGTACGCCATGGCAACGGACTCATGATAACGGACCCCATCCACAACATGTCGAGACCCAAACGGGAGTGCGAACACTCAACCCCAAACCAACTGTGTCTACTCACCAAATCGGCTGCATCAGAAAACTGACTGCCTACGTATCCTCTCCAAGGAATCAAACCTTCACGTAGTTCACCCAATGGCCTCCAAAGGCCCCCAATCCAACCTGCGGCTGATAACATCATAAACGACCCCAATCTGAAAACAGTCCAACACCTCCACCTGAGATGAAACAATGGCCGTATCCAAAACATATCCATCAGCTGCATCCATATCAACTACCTCATCATCTGCACCCATAAATAAATGACTCACACGCTGTGCCACCTCAGCTGGAATCCCAACCAATGCAGAATGACCTGGAGTATGTGGGGAAATCCCCACCCAATGTAGAGTAGCATCAACCTCCACCCGCTGCGATATCCCTCTGACCTGATCAATACTCTCCACCTGCCGAGAGTCCAAAGTGACAAACCTGCTCAGACCAAACTCAGAAGCTCCCAACTGATAGCCGAATGAACTCCTGAATCCCAAATGCGCAATCAGATCCAATCTCACATCCACGATGTGACCAAGTACTGGGTAGCCAAATATCCGACGCCGAACAAAATCCGAAGCAGCTCCACCAGATCTAACAACTCTACACGCAGCAGTCGACAACCTCATAAGATAGCCCAAACCTGTCGAAGCCTGAATACCAGATCCACTGCTCGACAACCAATGCCGATCCTCCTCCAGAAAAGAACGGCTCACTGAATCCGTCATCTCATCACGTCGCCCCACTGTCTCCTCTCCTCTGAAGTGTCTCCCACTGCCATGAGCTCGGCACCAATGCAAGAAAGGACTCCTACTAGAACAAGTACGACTGGTAACCTTTCTGCCCATACTCCTCCTCCAACTATTACGGACTATTAGGGCTTTATACCAACGGGACTTGGTTGCAACCCAAATATGCCTAGTACAATCCCCAACATAGGAAACAAAATAATCATTACCTCCCACTGATGCATACATGGAAGGCCCCCCAATGCCTGACTGAACACCTCCAATAAGACCTCTCGATCGGTGGATAGAAGTGCTGAACTCCACCTCGGTCTCATCGCTCATCCCAGTGTGCTCACAGGACTTCAATCTGCAGGTCATAGCACTCCTCAACAATCTGTGCACGACATAACCAATAATATATCCCAACACCAAACAATGCCACAGTCTAGCCATAGAAGTAGTCAGTGCCCTATCAACTACCGTGCTCCCAAGTAGATAATACAAGTTACTCCGCCTGACTCCCTTCATCACGATCATGGACCCCGATGTGACCTTCAAGCGAGAATCCGTCAAAGTCACCCTATAGCCTGCTGCCTCCAATACCCCAAGTGAAAAATCCGCCAAGGTCACCCTATAGCCTGATGCCTCCAATACCCCAAGTGAAATGATGTTCTTCCTCAGTTGAGGAACGAACCTCACATCAGCCAACTCCCAGATCATCCCGTCACTCATCTGAATCTGAACGGTACCAATACCACCAATAGGGCATCTGTGATCATTACCCATAAGAACAACATCCCCTCTTTCCAACTCCTGAAAGCTGGAGAACCAATCCCTTCTAGGGCATATGTGGTAAGTAGCACCAGAATCCAACATCCACTCGGTGGAGTCGGCAACATCAACTGACGGAAGAGCTGGGCACGAATAGCTCGAAGAATCTGAATCTGAAACATCGCCACTAGCCTTGGCAACATTTACCTCTGAAGCTTGAATATCTTTTCCTTTATTCTTCACGGCTTGTAATTTTGGGCATTCGGCTTTCCAATGTCCATCCTCTCTACAAAAGGCACACTTATTCCTACCAACTGCAGGATGCCCCCCTCTAGACTGCGATATTCTCCCACGGTTTGGACTTTTAGCTCTTGCAACCAATGCCCCCGCAACCGGCTCGATGGAAGTCTCTTTGTCCTTCTTTCGAAGTTGATAGTTCACAAGGGCTGCGGTGACCTCACTATACGAAAGAGATGCCTTCCCATTAATAAGAGTGAGGACGAAGGTCTCATATTCCTCGTCGGGTAAGGAACTCAATAACAACAATGCTTTATCCTCATCTTCAACAATGACATCTACGTTCGCCAAATCTGCAAGTAGCTTCGTGTAGTGGTTCATGTGATCACTAATGGATGTCCCCTTCTTCAATTGGAAGCGATAAAGTCTCCTCTTCAAATGCAAACGATTTTCGACACTCTTTGTCAAATATTTGCCCTCTAGGACCTCCCAGATCTTCTTTGCCGAAGTTTCATTCATCACATTATATTTTAGATCTTGGGTAAGACAAGACCTAATCACACCACACGCCGTTCTATTCATTTTATTCCAAACCTTTTCATCCATGTTGTCCGGTTTCCCGTCCAACTCCAATGTATCTTCCAAATTTTACGCATTTAGCGCATCCATGACTTCACATCTCTAAAGTCCAAAATTATTTGTGCCGTTGAACTTTTCCACATCTATTTTCATAGAATGTATATTCAAACTTTGGATGGCCCTCACACTAGAAGAACCCTCCCCACTTTTATCTTTTTCAGCCATATATCTCAAAGCACCACCAAACCAATGCGGAAACAAACGAGAAATAGATCCAAATTGAAAAAGACGAGATTTTTACTGAAAAGATCCCACCTTTATCACCAAACGAAGCCCTAGATGAACTTCCAAAGCCCGGCCATAATCTCAAAGCACCCAAACAATTGCGGAACAAACAAGAAAATAGATCCAACTTGAAAAAGATAGAAACTTTACCACAAAGATCTCACCTTTATCACCAATCGAAGCTCTAGATGAACTTCCCAACTGATCCATACCTCCAAAAAGCCCAAGCGTTGCCCGGAGCTCTGATACCACTTGTTGTGCCTTGAGAATCCAAACCAATCGCCAAGAAAAGATAAACCAACACACCAACAAGCACAAACAATCACTAACACCAGTTTTACGTGGTTCGGCAAGATGCCTACGTCCACGGGGCAAGGAGGGGGGAGTTTTCACTATTAGAAATCAAGAGGGACAAACTAGGGTTACAATCTCTCACCAACAAAAAAACCCACAACAACTCACTCTTGATCTCACCAATTGCTCCAACAATAGAAGCCCAATAAAACTCTCCCTTCAGATCTCAAACTTCAGCCTCCAAACCCTAGAAACACCCCTTTGGGTATTTATAGGAAACCCAAACGAAACGGGTCTGGAAAACAGACCCAGACTCAACCCGCTTCGGCGGTCGACCGGTCCGGTCGACCGCCCTCCATCCAGAACAGCTCCAAGAATCCAGAGAGTTCGGCGGTCGACCGCGTCGGTCGACCGCTACCATCTTCGGTCGACCGGTCCGGTCGACCGCCACCAATCCTGAAGCACAGTAAGTGACGTGCACGAAAGCGGTCGACCGGACCGGTCGACCGCCACACTGTCAACCTGAATCCTGAGCTAGAAATCCACTTCTGCTGCCAATTCTACATTTCTGTTGACAAACACGTGATATTCTGTAAAATTTTGTAGCTTTTTTATATAGCTAATGATAATGATTAAGCTCCTATTGATAGTATTCTTGTCAACATATCTGATCAAACTGTTAGTAAAATAATGAAGGAGACATGAATTCTAAGGCATGAAATACTTTCCTTAAGGAAATATTTGCTCCACTTGATATTCAAATTTGTTTCGGGTTAATGTAAAATTTCAACATTTCTTACCATGATACAACAGAAAAATTAAAAATTTCAGCAAGCAAATCTGGAATTCCCATCAATTCTTTGTGAAACAAGTTTATAGTATTGCATATGTTTTTGAGAGAAATGTTTAATGAAAGAAATGAATTTAGATGTCTGAAATCATAGACTATTTATAAATTTGAAAAAGTATTTCCAACCGTCATAACTTTTCAAAAGACTATTTGGCAAAAATAGTCACTTTTTAACTGTCTTCTTTCAACACTAACTTGCCTTTTGATATTTTAATAATTCAAAATTTTAAGATAACAATAACAGTAATAAAGAAATAATATATTCAAAAATATATATAGTAAAAAGTTAGTAAAATTTTAAAATAATCACCCATGTTTAACAGTTTTATCCTTATAATAGTTAAATATTCTCGATCTTAGAGCATCAAAATTGAATTTTGTTAAAATCCCGGCATTAAGACTATATTTGTTTAATTTTAGGTTTATAATTCAATTTTGTTAATTTTGGGCATCAAAGATAAAATTTTATTAAACTTTAAGGTGTTTTTTTGGGAAATAAATAATTTTGAGGTATCAAAGTGAAAAGCGAAGAAGACTTTGGGGTATTTTTTTGGCAAAGAAAAACTTTCGGAATATATCAAAGTTAAATTGGGAAACAATTTGAGGTATTTAACTTTGTCAGCCAAGGTCAACAAAATAAATCTACGCAGACTTAAAACCGTGAAACGATAAATTTTTGGGAAAAATGTGTCCAGGCCCCAAAAGCAGAATGTTCATGTGACCCGCCCCCTTGTATTTTGCCCCATGTGATTCAGCCCCAAAAAGTACCATTTAATATTTTAAGGCCCCTCCACGTCAGCAGTATAAAAAAAGAGATTGTATTTTGAAAAAAAACCCGAAATTACCCCTCCACTTATCTTCCCTAGACGTCTGGTCCACAAACTACATGAAAAGTCACGCCCATTAATGCAATCTGATGGAAAAAATAGAGGGAAATTTCCCGCCCTTTTTTGAACTCTATCATGAGCAATAACTCATGTTAGTTCTAAGTTATTTAATGTTAGTTCTAAGTTATTTAATGTTAGTTCTAACTTATTTTATGTTAGTTCTAATTTAGTTCTAATTCATGTTAGTTCTAATGTTAGTTCTAAGTTATTTAATGTTTGTTCTAACTTATTTTATGTTGTTCTATGTTATTTTATGTTGTTCTATGTTAGTTCTAATTTAGTTCTGACTTATTTAATGTTAGTTCTACTTCCAGCTAGTGTTGGTTCTAATATAAGCGTTAGTTCTAGTGGCTATATTAGTTCTAGTTGAGCTCCTGTTAGGACTGACACCATACCTGTTAGAATTGATACTGGAGAAGCTAGAACTAACACATCATCAAGTAGAAGTAATATGACATTTAGACCTAACAATTACGCTGGAACTAACGACTTAAATAAATTAGAACTAACACGATACCAGTTATTCTGCACAGTGTTAGTTCCGTTCTGTAGAGTGTTAGTTCTAATCTGCACAGTGTTAGTTCTATTCTGTAGAGTGTTAGTTCTAATCTGCACAGTATTAGTTTCGTTCTGTAGAGTGTTAGTTCTAATCTGCACAGTGTTAGTTCTATTCTGTAGAGTGTTAGTTCTATTCTGCACAGTGTTAGTTCCGTTCTGTAGAGTGTTAGTTCTAATCTGCACAGTGTTAGTTCTATTCTGTAGAGTGTTAGTTCTATTCTGCACAGTGTTAGTTCCGTTCTGTAGAGTGTTAGTTCTAATCTGCACAGTGTTAGTTCTATTCTGTAGAGTGTTAGTTCTAATCTGCACAGTGTTAGTTCTATTCTGTAGAGTGTTAGTTCTAATCTGCACAGTGTTAGTTCTATTCTGTAGAGTGTTAGTTCTAATCTGCACAGTGTTAGTTCTATTCTGTAGAGTGTTAGTTCTATTCTGCACAGTGTTAGTTCTATTCTGTAGAGTGTTAGTTCTATTCTGCACAGTATTAGTTCCGTTCTGTAGAGTGTTAGTTCTAATCTGCACAGTGTTAGTTCTATTCTTAGAGTGTTAGTTCTAATCTGCATAGTGTTAGTTCTATTCTGTAGCGTGTTAGTTCTAATCTGTACAGTATTAGTTCTATTCTGTAGCGTGTTAGTTCTAATGTACACCATGTTAGTTCTATTTTATAGCGTGTTAGTTCTAATCTACACCATGTTAGTTCTGTCGCAGTTCATGTCAGTTCTAGTGTATACCACGTTGCTTCTAATTTATACCAAGTTAGTTGTAACTTATAGCAAGTTAGTTCTATTTTATACCACATTAAGCGTTATTTTATAACAAGTTAGTTCTAAATTATACCACGTTAGTTCTATTTTATACCATGTTATATCTAATTTATACAAAGTTTGTTCTATCTCATATAATAAGTTAGTTCTAATTTTAACCATATTAGTTCTAATTTATCCCAAGTCAGTTCTAATTATACCAAGTTAGTTCTATTTTATAACAAATTAGTTCTAATTTATACAAAGTTAGTTCTATTTTATAACAAATTAGTTCTAATTTATACAAAGTTAGTTCTATTTTATAACAAATTAGTTCTAATTTATACAAAGTTAGTTCTATTTTATAACAAATTAGTTCTAATTTATACAAAGTTAGTTCTATTTTATAACAAGTTAGCTCTAATTTATATCAAGTTAGTCCTATCTTATAACAAGTTAGTTCTAATTTTAACCACATTAGTTCTAATTTATCCCAAGTTAGTTCTAATTATACCAAGTTAGTTCTATTTTATAACAAATTAGTTCTAATTTATACCAAGTTAGTCCTATCTTATAACAAGTTAGTTCTAATTTTAACCACATTAGTTCTAATTTATCCCAAGTTAGTTCTAACTTATAGCAAGTTAGTTCTATTTTATAACAAGTTAGTTCTAATTTATACATGAGCTTCGATAGAACAAACATGAGCTAACTCTAGTTATTTATGCCATTTTTTAAACTCTATCAATAGCTAACTCATGTTAGTTCTAACTTATTTCATGTTAGTTCTGCAAGGAATGTTGAAGGAAGCAGCAATAATTTTCTTTCAAATACTAAAGAGGGGATTTATGCCAGATGCCATAGCATATTGTAGTTTGGTCGATTGCTTGTGCAAGCATAGCAATCTAATTGTTGGGTTTAAACTTTAAGAATGATGCTTAAAAATGGTGTTCATCCTGATATTGTTGTTTATAATGTTCTCATAAAGAAGGTAGAACGGACAGAACTAATATGGCAGCGAACAGAACTAACGTAGGAGATAACATATCACGAAAGCGGGTAGAACTAACGTAAGAGATGACAGAACTAACATGAAAGCTGGTAGAACTAATAGTCCAGTCCTTAGAACTAACAGTCTAGCCTTTAGAACTAACAGTTCAGCCATTAGAACTAACATTTTAGCCTTTAGAACTAACATGACAGCCCTTAGAACTAACATTCATAGTTCTAATTTTCCTTGTCCCCCCTTTCAAATTCACAGGTTCTTAGATTCTTTAGTCGACTTTTAATCACATTATCTTCAATTTTTAGCTAAATGTCGATATGTCTGAAGATTCAATGTGAGCTTTTGAATTTCTGCTGTTAATCTCTTATACAAAACTCTGTCAATCACCAAATCACACAAGAAAAAGGCATTAAAGAAAAACCCAAATTGCTGTTCAAGAATCCAAGGAGATCTCATTTCAATTAAATGAAAGATAAAAACTACAAAAATCCAATATCGATTCCCTTCATAAATTACAAGAAAACAAGAGCACTATCTTGATTAAGACATTGATTTGGGTAAAGATATTCCGTAACCTAGAAAGGGGAGAACAACGATGCATCAGACCAAAGCCCCAGGCTCCGTCAGCTCGCGGGTCCCCGGACCATGTTCCGTGTTTGTTGTTGAACCCGCGTTCACGAGCTGTTTCTAAGATGACTCCCCGACCTCCGACTCCATGACCACCGTCCTCGCCTTCGCCTTCCACGACCTCCTCAGTCTGATCATTTTCAGCGGCCATGACGGAAGTGAGAGAGAAGGAGAAGCTGAGAGATAGAGTAGAGAGAGAGAGAGAGAGAGAGAGAGAGAGAGATGGGATGGGGTTAAAGGGATGGGCGCAGTTACCAAGCTCAATCAAATCAAAGGGTAAATTTGTAACTTTTGTTGGGTTTTTCTCAGGATCTGGTACTTTGGGGCCTTAACACAAATACAATGTGTATTTGGGGCTGAATCACATGGGGCAAAATACAAGGGGGCGGGTCACATGAACTTTCTGCTTTTGGGGCCTGGACACATTTTTCCCTAAATTTTTTGACAGAAAATTGGATGAAATAATTCATGTGTGGTTAAAATGTTAAGGAGACGATAAATATAGGAGAGGCACTAAAGGCACACTCTTCACTATACCTCCAATCACACCTCCCCTCCTGCTACAGTGCACCGGGGCCCACTTGAGATTTAAAATTTAAATCTCAAGTGGGCCCTAGTGCACTGTAGCAGGAGGAGAGGTATGGTTGGAGGTGTGGTGAAGATTGTGCCTCTATCATTTCTCTAAATATAGTTGATTTTCGAAAACTCGAGTAATTGATGATGACAACGTGAAATAAAGGATAAGTTAAGGGCGGCTTTCCCAAAGGAAAAAACACTTCATTTTCTGTAACATACAATTATATTTTAATCGATAACAATTTTTTTGTCAAAAAAAAAAAAAAAATTTGTCTAAAACGGACCACACTGACAGTTATACAGCGGTCCTTAGAAACATTGCCAACAACGCGCCGGACTCAGGAATCCTGGCCGTCGCGGAACTCAAAAAACCAATTTAACTGATCTCATAAATCCACCTATAAAGCTCCTTCAAGTCCGGGCGTTTCTCTCCTCTCCTCTCTCTCTCTCTCTCTAAAATCCCGAGTGCTCAGCTCTCTCTCTCCCCCTCCTCTTTTCCACTCGCAAATCTCCCCAAAACCCTAAAACTGCCCCAAATTCACTTCAAATTTACTAGAATTGGCGTCGGAGGCCTCTAATTGAGTCGGTTCGCTTGGTGATCTCGAGAGATTTTGGTCGGAGAGAAGCAGATCGCGCTTCAATCGACGGGGTTTTCGCTCTAATCGAGAAGCTTTTTTCTTTGAATTTCCACTGAGGTTTCGGTTCATTCTAGGGTTTTCTCCGGTTGATCGCCTCGTTCGAGGGATTCATCCATGGAGTATGGCCCTTCAGATAGCAGCGGTTAGTTGAGTTGGTTGTACTTGAGTTAATTCGAAATTTCGTGTTTTATATTGGATTTCAAGATGTTTGGTTTGGGTTTTGTTGAAAATTTCGAGTTTGAAGGGTTTGGGTGTGTGGAGTTCGTGGAATTAATATGCATTGGTTGTCAGTTGGGTTAGATTTGATAATCTAGGGTTTTGATGTTCGTCTGTTGGTAGTTTTAGGTTCGGAGGTAGGTCTTTTTAAGTTTTTCGTGCAAAAGTTTCTTCTTTTAGTCGTTTATTCTGGTCTTCCTGCTAGCTGGCGATCCAGGTAGATGCTAATTAGGTTTTAGGAAGAATTAGGGTTTTCTAGATTGCATGGGTTCTTTTGGGTTTCATCGGGCTTCTTTTGGATGATAAAGGAGGGAACTTGGTAGTCAAAACTGGAAATGACGAACGGGCTCACTTGTTTCAAGATATATACAGGACTAGAGGTATCAAACTCTGAATCCATCCGATTTAATGCTGAGAGACAGCTACAGCTAAGTATTCACTAAGCACTTGAACTTTACAAGACACTTTTTCTGTTGACCTCTGACTGTGTAGTGCTGAGTGCAAGCAGAATGTACCTTGAACTTTAAGATGATGTATAAAAAGCTAACAAGGATGAGGAGTTGCACCAGAATAGGAGCAAGAGTGCACTGATTGTGGAAAGGAGAAGGGGATAACGGGTTACGTCATGAGTGCATCAGTTTACTTTAATTCTTTTGAGATGGTCGGTGCATCATAAGAGAAGTAGTTGCAACAGTAGAGGAAAAGCTGATGGAAAGGATCGACTAAAACTAACTTTCACTCCACTTATCTCTTAATTTTTAGCATTTATTATCTCTTAATTTATTGTGATGTGAGAAGACGTAAGTCACCTCTTGTTATTATCATTTGAGAAGCTATCAGTAGTGCCCCGAGGGCAAGATCGATTGGTTGAATTATATGGTTTTAACTTAGTATGAGCATGTTCAAAATTGGCTATTTGTGTTCTGGCTATCGGAACATGAGTGTTTGGGATGTCATAGGGTTATAGGAGGTCCTAGGTTCGAGACGGTCTACCATCTTGTGAGGTCTTCAGGACCCCACTTCTCTCGCCTCCCACACGGTAGGGACTTCTTACTCATATAGTATTTGGTTTGCAGGATACTTGCTCCAAGTCATAGCCCAAAACACATGTTTTTGGGAAGTAGGAGAAAATTGATATTAGCAACATTGTCTGGAAAGCTAAGAGTTCTTAGAATGTCTATTTTGTAGCAAGATGCACACATGTCCGTTGACGTACTACCAGTGCTTGTCACCTTCTTGCTGGATCGAATAGGAGATAGCTATTCTTGTCTGTTCGTTGGGTCTGAATCATTCATCAAATGTTATGAGTTTTGAAGTTGAATGGGGATGGCATATTGGGCTTTGTTGGTCAAGCTTGAAAATTGTTGGCTTGGGTTGGCGTTGAAGGAGCTATTGGTTGTAGCACTCATTATACTTGTCTGGTGAAATCTGAAGAACAGATTTTACATTTTTTCTTGAGGATTTTCTTCTGTAGCCTAGAACAAAAATCTGTTTAAAAAAATATTGTAAATTTAACTATTGGTTGATTTTCTTGGTTGTTTACGGGGAACTAAATCCATGATTTTTTTTAATATTAATTCACATGTTTGATAAAAAAACCTTGTGATATTAACTTGCCTGAGAACCTAAGCAGCTGGGTTCAATTATTTCAAGAAACATATGTTTGGGGATCAGGTAGGGATCTACTCAACAACCAGCCTTACCCAGCCTCTACATAGTTGTAGCATGACGCTATCCAGCCTACATTGCATTAAATTGTCATAGTGCTCTAATTATCATCGAAAAAAATTGGTGAGCAAGGGCCAAGGATTAAGGACCATCGTGTAAACACTTTATAGATAAGGTTAAGGCCTCATTGATATTTGAAGATGCAAGTTATCACTATGATTGTCGTTCGTGCAACCTCCATATGTATACATTATACATAGCATATGAGCACAGTTACATATGCGCACAATCATATATTACATTGCATAATTATCAGAAATGACCTGAGAGAAATCCCTCTCTATGAAATTCATAGATATATGTATTTGCAAATAATGTGGAGAATGTTTCATGAGACGGAAGTGGACATCTTGTTTGAATGCAGACAATTTAAGAGTAGGAAGGAAAATTTAGTAGAGCCCAGCGGATTATCTTTGCATTTTATCTCAATACCCAAATTCAAAATTGACATATCTACTGTAGCTAATTTTATGGTGCTCCTCCTTTTACTCTATTGTGCAAAAAAATTGCGAACTTCTTGAACTTGAGCCCATTGTTTTAAATATCCCCGACATAATGATATATTAGCCGATATATCCTTTAATAAGGCTTGCTGCAAAATGATACAGTCTCAATATTCTTTATTGTTTTTTGGTAATTTTTGGATGATATACCCTTACATGGCCGATATATCAGTCAATATTTGGCCGATATGTCCTTTTATATGACTTGTCGCAGAACAATATAGATGTGCAAATTTTCTTTAGTGTTTTTTTAACAAAAAATCCAGTGCTATGAAGTTTTTTAGCAAATTCTAGTAGCCTCTTTCTCTAATTAAGTTTATAATCCTAACCATATATTATTTACATTTTTGTATGGTTAGATTCAATACGTTTACATTTTAGGATATTACATATATATGCACATCATCCGATATGACACTTTGATATTTATTACATATCCTCGATATTTCCCTAATATATGCAAACCGATATGGATTTTGGCCGTCCAATATTTTTCCAATGTCCGCTTTTTAAAACCGTGCTTGAACCAACCGGCACTTGAAGATACTATGAGCCCAAATTGTGACATGACTGTCTAGCCCATTCATTCTGCATACAACAGCAGCAACATCAAAGCTTTTATCCCAAATATTTGGGGTTGGCTACATAAATCATATTCTTTCATTCCATTCTATTATGGGACGTCACCTTTCTTAAGTTAAATGCTATTATATTCTTCTTAGTTACTTCCAACCAAGTTCTTTTAAGCCTATCTCTAATTTTCTGGCCTTATTAACTATAATACTATCACTTTTACTAAACGGTGCATTAAGAGGGCTCCATTGTACATGACCAAACCTTCTTAGTCAATTCTCTCTCATTTTATCCTGAATAGGAGCAACCTCTAATTTACTATAGATGCACACATTTTTTATCCTATCTTTTAGTATATACCCACAAGATCATTGCAACATTCTCATTTCTGTGCTACACATTTTTTGCATGTGTTTTTTAATTGCTCAACATTCTGACCCATAAAGCATTGTTGGTTTTATAATCGTCCTATAGAATTTTCTTTTTAGTTTCGTTAGTATCCTACGATCACATAAGACTCCCGAAACACTTCTCTATTTGAACGATCCCGATTTGACTCAATAAACAATATCATCCTCAATCTCACTATTATGTCGAATGATAGATCCTAAATAGCAAAAATGATTCCTTTTAGATATTTCTTAATCATCAATATGTACTAGAGGTTCTTTTTTTCTTAGCTTTACTAACAATGCACTCCATGTATTTTGTTTTTGTTCTACTAATTCTAAGACCTTTAGATTCAAGAGCTTGTCGCCACCTTTCTACTTTAGAAATTATACCTCTTCTAGTTTCGTCAACTAGCACTATGTCATTGCCAAAGTTTCGTCAACTAGCACTATATCATGCACAAATAACATACGCTATGGGATTTCATCCTGAATGTGCCTAGGAAGTTGGTCAATAACTAATGCAACTAAATAAGGACTTAAGGTTGACCCTTAATGTAACCTATGGTAATAGGAAACAGTTTATTCTTTCCTTCATTAGTTCCTACTCTAGTTGTTACTCTATCATACATACCTTTAATCACATCAACATATATATACTAGATACATGTTTCTTTTTTAAAACCCATCATATTACCTCTATAAGCACTCTATCATAAGCTTTTTCTAGATCTGTGAAAATCATGTGTAGATCCTTTCTCTTCTCTATATATCTCTCCATCAACCATCTCAAAATATAGGTTCTATAGTTAACCTCCCCAAATTGCTTTTCAGATACACTTATCTCCTTTCTCAGTCTTTGCTCAATTACCCTCTCCATTCATTCTGCATGTTGTAACTAATTTACATGTTCCATGTACCTGTATCACTAACCATCATGCTGAAATGTTAGTAAAAATTGTCTCGGGTTTGTTTATATGTTTTTTGCCTTTACAGATGCTTGCTCTTGTATAATATGTTACTGCACTTAGGTTCTGGACTTGATCTCACAATTAGTCATTTATTTTCTTCTCTACTTATGGCATGGTCCTTTTGACAAAGTGGAAAGTGCTTTTCCGAGAACTCCTGCAACTTGTAGGCTTCTTGTTTTATTGCACTATCAAATTCACTACAAAGTATCTTGAAAGCATGTATATCTGCAGCAAATGTGCTTTGATATGGACATCTTCCATCAAAATTCTTCCCACTAAAGAGTTTTTGAAATTTCAACTACAATCGAATGTTGATGCATGCTCCATCAAGATGATGACAATCTGCGCTTGCAAGTTGCAACATCATTGCAAATTGCTTGCAGCCAAATAATATAATTGTTTTGTTTGCATGCCAGTACCATGTTCTCTCAATTTTTCTATAAGTTGTACTCAAAACATTAGGTAAGTTCAACCCAATTGGCCGTTCATTATTAAATTGGAATAAAAGCTACCTCAAGATGGTATTCTCATTAGTGATCTTGCATTGCATGTTGTTTGCAGGAACTGATGACGATCTTCCGCCATCACATCAAAACAGGGGTGCAAGAGGAGGACGTGTCACTGGGAATGGAAGGGCTGTTGTCGGTGCTCCTCCATTCCCAAGGGCACAGAGTGATATGGAGATCCAAATACATCGGCTTGAGCAAGAAGCATATACTTCAGTTCTCCGAGCATTTAAGGCTCAATCTGATGCCATTACTTGGGTAATCATCACACAGTCTTATTTAATAGCTTTCTTGCAAATTTTTCTTCAATAGCATTAAAAATGCACTTGCACCCCTTATCCAATTATTTCTTCAGGAGAAGGAAAGTCTGATAACTGAACTCAGAAAGGAGCTGAGAGTATCTGACGAGGAACACAGGGAATTGCTAAGCATAGTCAATGCTGATGATATTATTAGAAGGATAAGGTCCGTAAGAGAACATATTTTTGTATTGACGCCTTTTATGACCTATAGTGAGTTGTCTATCTATAAATTTATTATTGTATGTTTCTAATTTTGCATTAATTGTTTGGAAAAACCAATTAGAGAATGGAGGCAGGCAGGTGGGGCCCAATCCGGCTTTCTTAGTAATGCTCAGCCAGTTCATGATCCAGCACCCAGTCCCACTGTCTCGGCATCTCGCAAGAGGAAAACCGCTCAACCAGTGGCTTCTCTATCTTTGGCTGCACCATCTCCTGCTATCCACCCACAACCTGTTCCCACTTCTATGCAGCCATCAACGTCCACTGCCAAAAGGGCATCTGCACCAGCCACAAAGGGCAAGAAGCTTAAATCAGTATGTCTATCAGCTTATACTTTAAGATAAATGTTGTCTTGTCAGTTTATTCATTCCATCTACTGTTTTCTTATGTCACAGGGTCAGTCATTGCCAGGTTCATCTTCCATAAAATCTTTACAATACCCTTTGAGTGGTCCCAGTTCAAGGACCCAAGCTCTTAACCGGACTTCATGTGGTGCTATTGCAGCTACTGAAACTGCTGAAGGTCCAATATTTGATCATCTAATTGGACGGAAGGTCATGACGAGGTGGCCTGAAGATAATAACTTCTATGAGGCTGTGATAACTGATTACAATCCAACTGAGGTCTGTTAGGCTATTGAGTACTCATCTTCTCTCTATGAGAATGACATATAGCCAAGCTTACCCTTTTCCACCATTATCAGGGTCTGCATCTTCTGGTTTATGATATCAACACAAACAATGAGACATGGGAATGGGTCAATCTCAAAGAGGTGAATCATTTATCTCCCGTACCGGAGACTTATACATCTTAATGACTTTTGATTGTTTATGGTCGCATACTAATCTGTTTTGATCCTTCCACTTTGGTTGTATGATAACATCCTCTTTAATCTCACAAATCACCGTTATTCCCAAACAAGGATAGTGGAAATGGTTGGTTCATAGGTTCTCTTAGTAATTATTGTTTTGCTAGTATGTCAATTAATGGAATGTCACTTCATTTCTGTTTAGCTGACAATGTCCATTGGAGTTGATTACTAAAAAGGATTTTTTTTTATACTGGGAACCACCCATGACTTAGGCCCTATTCACATTACCACCCTTAATTACCCGATTTTCAGGAAACTAACCCTATGTACCATTCCATTAATACATAACCACCCATGCCTTTCTCCATCCAATTTTTCATCCAAAAAATTTATAGTTTGATGGAGTTACCCCTATAGTCTCTATGTTGAACATTTAGTTGTTTTTTGAGATTATGTAGTAACTGTCACTATATTGAGGTGGCTGATGCTTTATGTTCTTATGATGACGTTATCTCTGATGTTGTGGTCACTCGACTCACTCCAATGTTGACAATGAAAAATTTTACAGGTATGGTTACTCCAATCTTTTGGCAACTCAAAGTTCAGTTACAAATAATACTGACATGATGCTTATCATTGAGGCTAGGAAATTACAATGACTGCTCATCCACCTTAAGACTAATCACATTACCATGACAAAGAAAGCAAGCTTTTATTATCATCCTTCATGTAATACATCATAACAAAGGCACAGAAAACTACAAAAAGAACTCTTATTCTCTTGCGCTAATAATTTTCAGCTAAAGGGTATAATTGGTACTTCATCAAAATTAACAAAGGAATTTGATGGAAAAGAGCATGTGTGGTTTTATACTGAAGGAAGGGTACATAGGGTTGTTTTGTGAACTCGGGTAGTTAAGGTAGTAACATGAACCTAAGATAGGGTTGGTTCCCTAAAGAAAACCTACTTATAAAGCAGAACTTAATCATGTTTTTCTCTCTGTGGACCCTTTTCTCTGCTAAGGGATTTAAAGTGTTCCCTTGGTTGGATCAGCTTACACTTTATGACAATAAGGTCAAAGCTTCAGTAGCTGCCAATTTCCTTTGCAAGTTTGTGTTGAAAAGTTTTTTCTTGATAATAGTTGCCTGGGTTATGAATTAGGAAATTAGGCCTAGACAGTTGACAAGTTATTTTGATAATTTATTACTGTAAATTTTGTCCAATTCTTTTGAGAAGTTTTTTATTCCTAAGTCGGGGTTTATGGATGCTATTATGTCGCCAAAGAATTCATGATAATAATAATGATAAGAAGAGTTCCTTGGCTATTTTTGGAGCAACACCTTGTTTTTGTGGGACCATGCATTCATTATCATTTATGTTTCTGGTTGGTAAGAATTGGGACATTTTGGCAAATACCTAGGTGTTCCCATTAAAAACACGGTGTTACCCAGCATAATTTTGTGGTCTTCTTTTTATGGAAGTTATCTGACCCATATCAGCATTCTTTACCCCCATAAATGCTTGAAGAATCCTGAGGATAACTGGATAGGTTTGGTGCCTCTTGCTTCTTCTCTCCTTGAAAATGCAGAGGCGGCCTTGTGAGAATTTCTCTTCATCTGGGCGTAGAGTGTGGCATATCTCCTTGAGTCACTAGTAGAAAAGGATCAACGGACATTGCCTTTAGAAGGGATTAATTTGGAACATTAGGTTAGCTTGATAACTTGTGGTCAGTTGGACTCTTTTCTTGTGGCCGTTGGTCCCCTTAAGGATCACCAGTGGCGCGACACCATTTCTCCTGTTCATTTATAGGGGTATAGACTATTGATTTTATGAGTTTTATGTCAGTTCACTGAGGCATATGGGTAAGTAGTAACATGAATGAGTGGACTAAAGCCTATAGACATGTTACTAAATCCAGTGCTTTGGCATTTTGATTGAATCTCGCGGGCATGACTCATCAACTCATTGTGACGACTGTAGAGTCGGCCTTAAGCCGGAGGCTCTTGGAATCAGTAATCTTCCAGACCTTTTGAGTTTTAATTTCAAGCTTTTTAGTTCGCTCCTCCACTTAAAGCAATGATCTTTCCTATATCAAGCCTTGATCCCCTTAGTCACCTCGCAGTTCTAGAGGTCTTTTTAGTTACATATTTGTGCTTCATAGGTTGGAATCTTCTAGAAAGCTGGTGAGTTTGTGTCCACAGAGTAACACAAGTAGCTCGGACATTTTATAAGCTCACTTAACAAGTACATCTAAGCTTTCTCCTATACCTTACACAGGTCTGGGGCTTTATATCATTGGGATGGGCAGCAATTGGCAACTTTTTAATATACTCTGTTCTTGGTGATTTATCAATCATATGTGTTAGCCTTCCTTGAGAGGGAAAAGAAATCCAGCAAGAGTGGCTCCAGCATTTGGTAATTAAATGATGGCTAGTTGTATCTGATATGAAATTATTATTTTGGCTGCAGATTTCTCCTGAAGATATTCGGTGGGAAGGGGAGGATCCTGGTATCTCTCATAAAGTAGCAAGTCGGGGTGGAGCTGGTCGTGGGGCTAATAAGAAGCCCCCGATTCGAGGTAGTACACTTGCAGGTGCAGGCAGAGGAAGAGGTTCTCTAAAGAACCAAGCCAAGAAACAGTTTCCTCCATCACAAAATGGAATAGGGAAGAACTCTGGTGACATTGAGATACTCCACACAGATACACTAATAAAAGAGGTAAGCACTGGGAATTTAAATTCTAATGTGACATTCAAACTGTATATAATTTGTGTTATTTTGTTCATGATGCTGAACAGGTGGAGAGGGTCTTTAATGCGAGTCACCCTGACCCTCTTGAGATGGAGAAGGCAAAGAAAGCCTTGAAAGTAAGATATATCCAAATAATATATCTATACTTGGTTATATTCTGTGTCTTAGTTTATTGTGTACCATTTGCAGGAACAGGAGCAAGCCCTTGTTGACGCAATTGCAAGACTTGCGAATGCATCAGATGGTGAAAGCGGTAAGTAGACATGGGCCTATTTTTCTTCTTAGTTAAATTTGTACCAGTATATGGTTTATCCAATTTCATGGTAAAGGCCATGCCAGCTTCTATTGCCTGAAATTATGGAAGTTCCTCTGGATCAACCTGAATGGTTGAACATAATCTGGAAACATGTGCTCTTATTTGTTGTTGGAACTTACTTGATGAAGAACACTTACCAGTTACCAGTAAATGCTTTATGGTTCAAATTTACTCTGTAAACAAAGATTACATCAGCTCATTGTTTACATTTGGTCTTTTCAAATTTTGACACCCATTTCATTGCTTATGCTGACGATAGCCTTTCCCCGCGTGAATTTAGATTTCTGGGCTCCTCTCCTAAAACCGAACCTGGATAGTTTCTCCATCGGTGCATTTCCACGCCTATCAGGTTATTCTTCATAGACAACTATGCATTAGGACGTAAGTACACCTTACGAAAATTTAACCGTCCATGTGGATTTGTGCACCATCACCATTTACCCAAAATAGCTATGCTATGATTTGTAAGATTGAAATTGCCCTGGTATCCATCTTGTTTTACTGGTGTTTGCTCTAAATTCGGCTGCTAGTCGTTAGGCGTTGACTGCTTGGTCCGAAGAGAATACCCTGAAATAAGAGGAAGTCCCTTTTGGTTGGAGAGCTAATAGCACGGTTGGGAGTCATGAGATAGATAAAGAGCAAAGTGAACGAGATAGGAAGGCGATTCAACGTATTGAACCGCCCTAACGAAGTATGCCAGTACTATCCTGGTGTAACTACAGCTGTTGTAGATCAACTTAAATGAAAATGTCGCCAAAGGAACTCAAGGATAACTAAATAGCAAGGGTAAGTAAATAGCTTAAACTACTACTATTTGATGGGGGGTGACCCTTGCAACCAGATTGATTGAAAAGCAGTAAGATATGAGGAAAGTAAATTGCATTAAAGTAAAGAAAATTAACTTACAAACTATCTATGAATCGAAACTACAACTTGGGCGGCAAATCCACATGCAAACTAAAGAACGAAAAGTGAAAAGCAGCAAGATAATAAAATAAAACAAAGTTTTTGTTGATTTTGTGTGAACCTGTTCCTTTGTTGTCATCAAATATATAGGTGTTTCGCACAATCCTAGCAGCTACTTCCCTATTCTGGAGTCTAACCACCCACCTGCTCTCATGGTTGTGGTTTTAGGACAGTTGGGTAATCCATGTTTGATGGCATCTCCTCCGATTCCTCTGAGTAGTTGTGGTTGATCGCTTATTTTCTAGCCAATGTCTAATCCCGAAAATTGAGCATAAACACGTCCGAGATCTGCATTTTACCTAACCATCCTTCTCCTAGCATGTGTATCTATGGCTTGATTGTTTTGCTAAATTTTCTGATGCATTTTATGAGCAATCCTGTAATTCTTTCCTCTTTTTTTTGGTGTGTTTTTTTTTTTTTTTTTGGGGGGGAGTCACATCGCTTATTTTCTAGCCAATGTCTAATCCCGAAAATTGAGCATAAACACGTCCGAGATCTGCATTTTACCTAACCATCCTTCTCCTAGCATGTGTATCTATGGCTTGATTGTTTTGCTAAATTTTCTGATGCATTTTATGAGCAATCCTGTAATTCTTTCCTCTTTTTTTTGGTGTGTTTTTTTTTTTTTTTTTGGGGGGGCCTAACCATCCTTCTCCTAGCATGTGTATCTATGGCTTGATTGTTTTGCTAAATTTTCTGATGCATTTTATGAGCAATCCTGTAATTCTTTCCTCTTTTTTTTGGTGTGTTTTTTTTTTTTTTTTTGGGGGGG